AGACAATTGAATTATAGCCTCTGACGGTTTTGATATACATGTAGTATATATGTAGCCCATGACCCAGTGATTGGGTAGAACAGGTCAATGATTCAACCACCTGGGTTGGCAAGTCTTTGATCATGTCCGCTGTTTTTGAAGAATTTGCAAGTCTTATAGAAACTGGACTTGGAAAAGGGACCAAGTGACGATTTGGACAGTTCAACCATCTGGGCCAATGTCGTACTTTAATTTCTAAGTATAGTTGAGGATGGTTCATTTCTTTCGGTGCTCAGGTTTGCTATACTCTCGATCTAGGAAATTGTCACAAGGCCTACTAACAAATTAAGTCTAGAATTAATTGGAAAATTTGCACATTTTGTTGGAAAAAGAAGTATCATGGTAAGAATGTATGTATGTATGTATGTATAACCCAACTCAAATTACTTCATCAAGCACCAACCCACCAAGAACCTCAAGCAAGTAGTACTCAACCTCTTCCCTCTAGTGGTTGTTGCTTTTTTTTTTTTTTTTTTTTCTTTCATCCCATTAAGCAATTGGGTTAGTCGCCCCACCAATTTTGGATTTCTTTCTACTCCTTTATCCTCTTCTTACTCCCCATCCCCTTTAGAATTATACCACCCTAGGTCTTCCATCATAGATGATGGACATGTGATTTTTCCAAGAATATTCAACTTTGACCTTTGTGATCCATCCAAATATGTCAAGTGCATAATGTTCTTTAATTAATCATCAATAAAGTTTTCAATTTTGATTTTGACCTGGGAGATCATCAATTTTCTAAATGGGATATTTTCATTTCTTATTTTGTTATAGTGGGTTTTTTATGGTCCCCTTTGGTAGATACCCTTATCAATCCATGTTTTTCAATGTTATAATATTTGTTTTCTTAAAAATTTCTCATTCAGGTTTTGGGGTTTCCATTTCTATGCAATAGCGTGTTTTTGTTGTTTTTCCAAAAAAATAAAAATTAAAATTAAAAAAAATCTAAAAACAAAAACTCAAAAAAAAAAAACATTTTTCATTCATGCATCCATAAAGCAGTCATTTCATGAATCCTTTTTTTTTAAATAAATAATGGGATTTCATGGTTTGAGGGAATTTCATTGACATATGGTAAGCACTCTGAGCACCCATCCTATTGGCACATGGAGTTGAAACCACATCCTTGAGGTTGGATAGATTCCAGAAATGTTGAAATCAAAGGCTTTCTAACTTTATACTAAGGAGAGGTAAAAATGGTCAAATTGGTTGATTGATGTTCACGAGGTAGGTCTATATACTCTTTCCCTACCTTCTTAATCATGGAAAATTAGTTGATTAAGAGTGTGGATATTTTAAAGGAATGACACAGAGTATCCACATTCAAGGAACCAAACTTATCCAAATTTGAATATGAATTCAAAACTTATCTAGAAAATGTGTAATCATGGATTTTCAATTCAATTTTGCAATCAATTTCGCAGGAGTATCACATTGAAGTTTCACAATTTGGATATCCAGATGAATAGACCTATAAGTCTACTTTCAACGCCTCAAACTACAGAATTGAATTTAGAGTTTTCCAAGTGGAGTTATGGTCTTTTTCTCTACAAGGGTATTGTGCTGTTGCGGTATTCCGAAAATGTTTCAATTTCAAGTCTTTTGAGTTTTTTTATGCCTTCTCCACTTACTAAGTCCTAGTTTTATAGAGTAGAGTTAAAAATTTGAGTTTCAATACAATTAAGCTAATGGGTTTCTTAGGGGTTCTTCTACTATCTTCCTTTTATTTTTTAGGTGGTTAAATTTGTTTTAATTAGGCTGTGTTTGGTTTGAAGGAAAAAGTAAGGAAACCCATACAAGGTTTGTAAAGATTTCCCTACCTTTTCCTTCCTTTCTCTACTTTTTCCTTTAAACCAAACATAGCCTTAGTGAGCACTGCTCTTATCTCATAGATGGTTTCCTTTGAATGGTGGATTTCCCTATCAGAGCATTGTTTGTTCCATTGAGGGTTTTGAATACTTGAATGGTGTGTGGACATGGTATCCTCCTCCACAAGAAGGAGACCTACCTGATGTCACAATGGACGAATTGAGGAATCAAGTGCAACAACTCTTATAGCCTATAGAGTACTTTGAAGCCTTGTATTATGATGAACCCCATTATGATTTAGAGAATGAACACTCTCATGAGGATGAAGAAGAAATTAACCCTTTCTATTGTTAAGAAATGAGCGAAGAGATTTTTCTTATTTGTCATGCTCTAAGAAACAATAGCTTCATTCTAATGAGATTTCAGCATCAAAATGAAGATTTTAGAATTTAAAGGAGGAATTAATGCAGCCAAATGACTTCATAGATTGGTTTCACACTATTAAGCGATTCTTTGACTACCAAGATGTATCCAATCATCTCAAGATGAAGCTTGTGGCCATCAAACTGAAGAAACATACTTCTATTTGGTGGGAACATCTCAAGAATTGATGAGCTCATGAAGGAAAGAGTCAAATTGTAACATGAGAAAAGATGAAAGAATGAACTTAAGAAATTTTTACCTGAAAATTACCACCAAGATGATCATCTCCAATTTTATAATTACAAGCAGAAGGAACTATCAGTGGAATGAAGACTATATTGCTGAATTTGAACATCTCATGATGCAGTGTGGTGTTAACAAAGAGGAAGAGCAAACAATTGCCTATTATCTTGGTAGCAGATTGCATCCAAAATTTTGGAGAGTAGTTGAGTTGCATCCCATACTAGGTTTACAATAAAAAAAAAGGAAACTAGATTTACAATGATATGGTTAAGCTTGCAATAAAGGTGGTGGAAACTAAGGTTCCATTTGGAAGGAGTACAAATACAAATATGCAGAGCACAAAATCTTATATTTTGTGTTATTTAGTATGGATTTGTATTTGTACTCCTTCCAAACTGAGCCTAAAGGAGGCACGGGGAGAAACATTTCATCTCTCGATTATGTTATCTCTAAGCAAGGGAGTTCCTTTGCTTCCAAGCACACTATAACACATAAAACAGCTACTTGCAAATTATCCCTCAAGAAAGAGGGTGTAGCTAGTCCCAACCAACCAAATTTATCCAATGTCAAATAGGTTAGGTGTTTCAAGTGCAAAGGTTTTAACCATATTACATCTAATTGCTCCAATCATAAGATGGTTTCTCTTGTTGAAGAAGAAATTGAAGAAGAGGTCAAGAAAGATTTACATTCTATCAAGAAGAAGAAGAAGAAGTAGTGATCTATGCTGGTCAAGGAGAATCTCTTGTCATTTGCTAAAATTTGAATGCAACCTATGTGGAAGAAGCTTGGCTTCAAAAAAACATTTTTCGTACACATTGCACTTCTTAGGGCAAGACGTGATATCATTATTGATGGAGGAAGCTAAACAAGTGTGGTGGCTACATCGATATGGTGGAGAAACTGACTCTAAAAATGGGGAAGCACCCACATCCATACAAACCTTCATAACTTCACAAAAGAAATGAGGTAAGATGTGTGATGTCAACATTAATGTTTTTGTTTTCATTTGATTTTGAAATCATCACATCAACAAAAAAAAAAAAAAAACCATGTTCTTTAACTATGTTTTTTGTATCCAAAAGGAAAACAAGTTGGTTTTGTTTCGAAAAACAATTAATACATGTTTTTGAAACCAACAAAATATTGGTTTTTTAAACAAAAAACAATTTTTCTAGTGTAGAAATTATATGATGTTGAATAGTCAAATGAATTGGTTTCAGTTTTGAAAACAAAAAACATATACACAGTCAAAAACATATTTCTTATGTTTTTGTTTTAAGAGAAGACAATCAGTCTTTCAAACAAGATGGTTTTGATTTGTTTTTGGAACTAGCAACAAGAAAAAACAATTCAAGTTGTAGAACACCCCATTAATTAATTTACCCTATTTTTAAAGCAAAAGAAGTAAGATGCCAACTGACCAGTTGGTAAGGTCTCCTGCTTTATGGAGAAAAAAAAACGTATCATCAAATTGGGTTAGGATTAAGGATGGGGCAGGTGTCAAATCAACACCTCAGGGGGTTGGGCTAAGGTGGATGACCTCAACCTGATCTAACCAGGCCGACTTACACCTCCTTGTGGAAGAATTCCAGTTAGGTCGTTTAAAGCTATATGGATGATCCATTAGCAAACTCCCTACAAATATGCTTCCATAAACACCTTAGACCAACTCTAAAACAAGATATGATATTATAGGAAGAAATTAAAGTTTTAGTTGTGAGTTGTGAAGCTAGCTAGTATAATTGATAATAATTAATATATGCACGAGATGATTCATTGAATTGAAGAAGTTTGGTCATCATTTCGGTTGATATTATTTATTACTTGAAGTGAGGCACAAGAAATATCAATGGCATCTACTCTGACCCAGAATATGGACAACTATTTGAAGGATTTGACATATTGTTCTCAGTCTCACTTCCCATACTATATATGCCATGCAAATAAAGCTGTTGTGCCTCTGTTCATTTTTTTTTTTTTCAATAAGTTATTTGAGATTAAAAGAAGTATTAGATGCCATAGACTTGGAGTAGAAAACAAGGGGACTGTACGGCATTGTCCTCCACCTTACGTTCGAAGAATCCAGAGAATAGAAAGATGCTTAGGGATGATTTATAGTAAGATTAGTGACAAAGGGTAATGAATCACATGGAGCACAAACCCATTTGCACATTAAGAAACTCATGGAGAATCGAGAGATTAATTATTACTATATATGGATGACATCATGGGATGATATATGTCTGAGATGGTATATGATCCATGTATAATCTTAGCAGATTGATTCTGTGATTCCCACTAATCTCCAACTTATGAAAAAGAATCCATTAAGAAAAGGGGTAAAGAAGGGATCAATTATTTAAAAATTTTCAAAGTTGGTCTGAAAAGTAATCGAAAAGTATTGATGTGACTGGAGAAGAATTTTAATCTTGCTTTGTCCTCACTTATTCTAGAGTTTGTCGACTGCACTCAAGCGGTTCATTTGGTTACTGAAGCCTACAAATATCCATCTTAGTGTTTTGCTAGAATCGCAGCGAAACAACATAACAGAAGAGAAAACTTCATTCCATTGGGAGAGGAGGAGAGGCCTAAAGGAATACCTATCAGAGTAGCCAATTGGTTGCAGCTGCAGGTGGATGGCTGAGATGAAGTGGTATGAAGAAGGGAAGCCTGTCTTTGTAATGGTGGCCATAAATTTTTTCTTGGCTATTGTGAATATACTCCTTAAGAAGGTCCTTGATGAGGGAATGAACAATCTGGTTATTATAACATACCGACAGTGTCTTGCCACCTCCTTCTTAGCCCCCATTGCCTACTTTTGGGAAAGGTATGACAGGTTTCTGTGCATATATGATAATGTTGTTGATATGAATCTAACTAATGTAGTTATATATTTTGTTTTTCTACTTTTAGGGAATGCATCCATGTTACATGCTTAATTTGCAGTTTATACAGTGAGAGTGATGATCATCAGAAGGCCATATATTTACCATGTTTATTATCACTCATCATTGACTCAACTGTAGAAAAAAGTAGTTGATTGATTCTTCATTTTTTCTTTTTTTGTTTTGATCCAATACATAATACACCATGTTCATCATCATCGATTGGCTTCAAATTAGTGGGAAAAGTTCAAAGTTTCTTCTTCTGTTGTCTGATTTTTCAAGCTCATCATCATGAATATGATGAACACTACTATAGCAATATAGGATTCTCACACAGGTTACTCAATGAGAGCATTCCTATCTCAATTAAAGGGTGTATCTACTTGTTGGCCAGAACAATCAAATAAACCAAATTCCTTGTTAATGTGCAACTTCTCAACTGGGTTTTATTTAAATTAAGATTTACATAATGCAGTCACATGCCGTTCTTCTTCTTTTCTCCAATATATTATCCTTCATCCATTTTGTCTTGTTTTCTTTTGTGAATAAAGATGTTTCTTGGTTGCAGGAAAAGCAGACCAAAGCTCACATCTCGCATCTTATGTCACATCTTCTTGGGTGCCATAGTGGGGTTAGTCACATACACTCACCTAGCTAGATGCCTGGTGTCCCCCCCATTAATTAACTTCATTTGATGCCCAGTGTCCCTCATTAATTGGATGTCATTCATTCATTCTGTAAACACTGCATCTGAAATAATAATTTAACTTGTTTTCAGGCCAACACTGACGCAATATTTCTTTCTTCTTGGGATACAATATACATCTGCAACCTTCTCTTGCGCTTTCATCAATGTAGTACCTGTGCTCACATTTTTAATGGCGCTTCCATTCGGGTCTGTAGTAGATCAATTCAATCCTCATCACTAATTAGACTTTTGAATGAAAAAGATAGCTTCTCATTCACTTCTCCTTAATTGAAAACCATACTAACTATTCCTTATTTTCTTGTTGATTGAATATGTAATTAATAATCACCATAACAGTCTAGAAACTGTAAACCTGAAGAGCAAAGCAGGGAGAGCCAAGCTGTTAGGGACAGTGGTGTGTGTTGGGGGAGCCATGATGCTAACACTTTATAAAGGGTTGCCATTGACAAACCGACCGAGTTCTCAAGCCTCGACTCAAATGACAAACCAGGCTAGCAGCAGGTTTAGCCCACAGAAGAGGGCTGAGAGATGGACCATTGGTACAATAGCCCTGGTTGCAGGCAGCATCTTCTGGTCTTCATGGTTCCTCATTCAAGCACGGATTAGCAAGCAATACCCCTGCCAGTACTCTAGCACCGCAATTATGTCATTCTTCAGCGCAATTCAATCGGCTGTACTGAGCTTGGTCATTGAAAGAGACATTTCCTTGTGGGTTCTGAGAGGGAAAGCAGCCATCTTAACTGTCTTGTATGCTGTAAGTACCCTCTATCCCCATCTACAGTCTCTGAATAATGCACTTCAGTTTAAGCCTCAAGTCTCTTTTTGAAGAAATGAACACACACACATATATATAGAACAATACAATAAATGACAAACCACATGAAGTGGGCTCTAGTCGGGTGCTGGGCTGTGCTAGTTCAGGGGCCCATATGGGTAAAGTTTCTGGGCCCTGCGAAAAGTTGGGCAGGTCTGCACTAGACACTAGTTAGTTCCAAGCGTTTTGCCTAGAGCCATCAGATGTTATAATTATGTACACATATATGTAAAATATAAAAACCTCCCTTCAGGTTTTTAACAATCATAAAAACCTTCCCTATATTATTGAAAAAAAACCTGCAGTTACTTTCTTTTTTTCATTGTCATGGATGGATTAAAAAAAAAATCTTGAGTGTGATAGATATTTACTAAAATACTTCCAAAAGATTTTTTTTTTCAATTTTAATTAAAAAAAAAATCTCTAAGTTAGAGTGAAAAGAATAAAGTTATTTTACTCTATTAAAAACGTTAGGTCAGGTGAAGTTTAAAAGGATAAATCTGATATTTTGAATTATATTGACAGATATCAAGTGTAGTTTCCTAACATTGAAGTCTGCTTTACTTGAACAAAGATGGAAGGGAGGCAACTGCAGATTTTTAGGAAACCATAGGGAGGTTTTTATGAAAATGAAACCTGAGGGGAGGTATTTATGATTGTCAGATTTATTTTTTATCCTTTTAAGACCATTTGGAAAGAAGATTCCTGATGTCTGCTTAAGTGGCAGGCCAGAAGGCCCCACCATGCACATGTATGGCCCATCCCATTGGGAATGACTGCCAAAAAGTTGACTTGATCCAACTTAATTACCCAATTAGCATGTGTTAATATTAAGCTTAATTTGATGCAAAATAATTTTAAGAGAATTAAAGAACCATATTTTCAGCTAAACTGGTTTAGCTTCTTTGAGGTGCTCCATAAACTATTCTATTGAAGGAGGCTTGAGACGGAAAGCCCTTCAAATGACAATCGATTTGGGCTAGCTTATAGGCTATCAGTGTGGGCTCATTTTCCAGAAGCCGCTATGCTTCAGCGTTCAGCCAGTGCCCGTTTGAAAGGAAAGGGCTAATCCTATGGCGGCTTTTGGCTTCACAAGGTAGGGCGAGGGCCTCACCAGGACAGCCTATAAAGTATAAACAGTGTTTGGTGAAAATTCCGGGAAACCCAATTTTGGTGTCCTACAGCTGAGAAAACGGCTTTGCATTTAAGCTTCTTTGAGTGGCTTCTCCAAAGTCCAAAGCCGTTCTATCAAAGGCTTCAGGCTTCAGCCCTCCCAATGGAGCCCTAAATAAGTGACCAACCTAGGGCTAGCTATATATAATTATATACCCTTCCCCTGTCTAGTAGTGTGTATCATCTGATTTCTGCTTTTTCTGAATCAGGCCTAGTGATAACAGGGACCCTTTTTAAAGGAGGCACAACTCAAGCATTTAACCACCTTGCTGCTGCAGGTTGCAGCATTCAAAGACCGGCTGGCTCAATGGTCCTTAAGCCCTAGATCCAGCCGGATCATAAACTTAACTAACTATTCATGCACTGTTACTTTCTCCTCCTGATCACTGAACTTGAATTTGAATATGAATCTGAATGGAAAGCCTTGGTTGTCTTAGGGAATAATGGGATCAGGATTAAGCTTTGTGGGGATGTCATGGTGTGTAAAGAAAAGGGGACCCCTCTTTACTTCAGCATTCAGTCCACTCATTCAGATAATTGTAGCCATAATTGATTTCTTTATTCTACATGAGCAACTAAACCTCGGAAGGTTAGGCCTCGATCAACAATTCCAGTGAAAGTACTGATTCCATATTTATCTCTATTTGCACAATCTAATCTTGTTTTGTTGTCATTGCAATGAACAGCGTATTGGGATCTGTTCTTGTGATTATTGGACTCTATATTCTCTTGTGGGGAAAAAGCAAGGAGGCCCAGAGTTGCATGATCAAGCCCCAAGCAGTGGAAGAGGAGGAAGCTCATCAGGAGGCACCAGTCTAAGTAATTTGGTCTGGCTATTGATTGCTCATGATGTCAAACTACTGGAGTCTTCACAAAAATTGCTTGGCTGTATTTCTTTTGAAGTACAGGGGGCAGAAAACAAAGTTTTGGATGTAAAACAGGCGAAATTTTCACTAAAATTTTTCAGGTACAAAAAAAAAATCCACATATTTTACAATGAAAGAAATCACTTATAAGATTGAAAGACTTGTTCCTTTTATCTTCTTAGATGGACTCTTAAGAGTGCATCTAAAACAGATTCCAATTCCATACTATGTTAATTTTAATGTGATGAATGATAAGCGTGTGGCCGTCTAATAACAACTGAAGTTGCTGACTTATTACTTTTCATTTTAATGGATAAAATGATTAAATAATCAACCATTCTAAATTATAGTAAACCCCCTAACTTCAGCTTTAGCCATTAAGGAGCCCCAAACCTACTTAAAATCTTATATTATTTACTAAAAGACAAAACAACAAGTTTTTTGGTTCAACCACTTCAGCTGCTATCAAATGGCCCCTTGGTGTAAATACAATTTTGGGAAGAGATAATGTTGTTTAGTAGAGCTAAGTCTATTATGGGAGATGCCTTGATCATGCACCTATTGTCAACACCTAATTTTTGCTTGGTCCCTTCATCCTACTTCTTTATAGAGACTCGAAAATTTTAAAATGTAACTAGATCAACTTAAAACTTTCCAAAATCTAAAGTTTCATATTTTTAGCATAATCCTCATGTCAAATGCCTAACTAAACTATACCAATAAACATAACCTTTGATTAATGAGAACATTGATATCAACATTTGACAATATATAAACTTTACTAACACGATCAAACACAATCCCTATATTTAAAAAACTAAAACTCATTTGCATGTTGAATTTCATGACCAAACTCCAAAGATTCACTGTTTTGTTCATCACAACTTTCTTTTTGACAGTCTTGATTTACATAATGTTTGAACCTCGACTTAACAAAATCAAATCCAACACATCCATTGCTTTAAGGAGACTATGATACAATCAACCCCCCCCCCCCCCCAAATCCCACATCAAATTTATGACAATTAACCTTAAAAATGTCAAGATTCCATTTCAACAGCTTTGAAAGAATAAAACTAAACAACCAAGATCAATAGTCTCTTTCTCAAATCAACAAGCTCCTTTGTTTAACTACCCAATCAACAAAGATTATTAGTTGATGTTTATGATTAAATCAAAAAAAGAAATTATAACTCAAGAAATCAAACCACTCTCATTAAGTCTAAAATCCTCAAAATAGTGCACATATTCAATTACATCCTTAAATTCCTTTAGTTCCTTCCAAAACAAACAAGATTCCATTTTAAGGTTTTTTTTATTAGTTGATAAGCCATAAGCTAAAACCTTAATCTAAACCAAATCTTTCAACTCACATCTTTGATAAAAGATTTTCACTTTCATCAGATTTTAGATATTCAAAAATGCCTACCACAAATTTCATCCCAATGTAGGTTTATTTAGATTTGGGTATTAAAATGACAACCTTGCCATTGGAGTCCATGTGAATTGTAAATCACTTTTTTTTATGCCTACCACAAATTTCATCCCAATGTAGGTTTATTTAGATTTGGGTATTAAAATGACAACCTTGCCATTGGAGTCCATGTGAATTGTAAATCACTTTTTTTTTTTTTTTTTAATTCTGGGATGTTATGAATCTCAAAAATTGCATAGGTATCTATTATGAATCTCAAAGCATGATGTGGTTGACCTAAATAAATGAAAAGTTCGTTGAGGGAAAAGTATGACTAGTAACCATCCTTTTAGCTTTGATTCCATTTTAACACATCAAACTTCACTATACAAGAAAATACCATATTTTGGAATCAAATTTCAATTAGCTCACATGTAAACTTCACCCCTTTCACTTTCCAAAACTAGGTCCATGATGTAAACTTAGGGTTATGGCTACCCTAACTCTTATTACACTTTTCTTAATTATATTTTTTATTATGCACTTGTACAATTAAGTAGATTATCTTATCTAGTAATTAGGTTGGTAGAGAAGCCAGCCATGTATTGGTCCCTATGGGAAGACATTCACAAATTTTTTCAGACAAAGAAAGAACCCTGGAAAACCTATTAGACTTAATACTTTTAAGGGCTGTCCACTGGTTAAAATCTATGGAATTTTTTTCAGACTTTCCTATGGCTGACTTGTTAAGAAATTGGAAAGAGATAGCTACCTTTGCTCTGTGTAAGAAGACTCTTAGTCCCTCTTGGTCCCCTCTTCCCTCTAGATTTATAAAATTGAATTTTGGTGGTAGTAGTTTAAGGAATTCAGGGCCCTTTGGGATTGGGGGAGTATTTGGGAATGAGGAAGGGATTGTTATTTCTTTCTTCTCAGGCCCTATTAGAGAATGAAACTCTCTTAGGGTTGGGATCCTTGTAGGTTTGGAAGGGATTCAAAGAGCAAGGGAACTAACTATTAGACGTTTGATCTTAGAAGGTGAATCAAAGGTGGTGATTATTTGGTTGAAGAAAGAGGACAGTTTGTGGAGCTATAACAATGAAAAGAAAATTCTTATGGCTGTGTAGGGACATTGAGAAAAATACAGCTGGGTGAAGAGGACCGCTAACTCATTTGCAAATGGGTTAGCCAAGCAAGGGGTGAATAGGGACTCTATCTTTTGGGCTAATTTTTAATTTTTTTTATTGTATTTTGTTGATGGAGAGCTAAGACATTTTATCTCCCCCATTTGTATCTAAAGTTTCACAAGTCTTCACATAATTAATAAAGTTTTTTGTTATTGATAAAAAAAAAGTATCTTTATGTCCTTATGTTACTTTGATGTCTTAGATTTGATAAAATAATTTGATTGTAGGATATGAGTTAAATTAAGAAATTGTGGACAAAGTAGTTGTAAGTAAATATCTATGCAAAAAAAGAAAAAAAAAAGAAGAAGAAAAAAAGATATTGATTTGGGTTAAGATTTTTGAGAGGTATATGTTGAAGTATTAATAATGCATGAAGAGCCTTTAATAAGGCCCCATAGATACTATAAGACACTTGGTACATCCATTGGAGTTACTATTGCATGGCCTTCATTTTTGGTAATATTACAAACTTATATATAATTATTTTTTTACTTCATATTTGTAGCTATATATAATTAGATAGCCAAAAACTACTAGTTTCCAGCAATCATTTCTATTTATTTAGTTTGTTTTTCTTTTTGTTATTTTTTTTTACAGGTTGTAGAGGAAGAGAGAACTAGAAGATGATTAAAAAGAGCATTTTTTACAAGTTAAAAGGAATTCTTTTGGATTCCAACTTTGACTTGTAGGTTTTCAAGAAAGAAGTCATCTACTAGAATAGAAGAGGGAAGATAATAAGTGTTGAATAAAGTGTTTTTTTATTTCTTTTCAGTTCTTAAAAAGAGGATGAAAGTCGACTGGAGTATTTTTTTTATTGTTTTTGTTTAATCATCATAAAACAATATTCACAACTTATGGTTAAGGTGTATCTTTTTGGATGAAGTATATATATTGTTTTATACATGTATTGTATCTCAATGTTATATAAAAGTTGCCACAAGTTTTTATCTTAATGTTTTACACAGGTTTTATCTCAATATCTTTTGCGCTCTATGTAAAGAAGTCATCTATTAAAAAGGAATAAGGAGAAATTGAGAATTGAATATCGTGTTTCTTTTTTTATTCTTAGAAATGAATGAAAGTTAATTGGAGTATTTATTATTTTTGTTCAATTATCATGAAACAATATTCATAACTTATAGTTAATATATATCTTTTTGAAACAAGTTGCTACAGATTATATCTTAATACCTTTTAGACAATATCTAAAAAGTCATCTACTGTAACGGAATAAAGAAGAGAATGAGAGTTAAGTGTAGTATTTTTTTTTTCCTTGTTCTTAGAAAGAGGATGAAAGTCAATTAGGGTATATTTTGATTATTTTATCCAATCATCATGAAACAATATTTATAGGTATCTTTTTAAATGAAGTGGTATAGATATGTTTTATACAGGTTTTATCTCAATATTATATACATGTTATTATAAGTCTTGTATATGATAAAATAATATATTTTTTTTAAATCTAAAAATCTTTAGAAGCCAAAAGTGCCTCTAAAAATTAAAGCAGATATCTTTAGACGGGGCCAAAGATATTTTGATTAAAACATTTTAATTGAGTTGCTTCTTCTTCTTAGATTGTTTTTAGAAGCATATAAAGTCATCTAAAAAGCAATTAAGGCATTCAAATGAGCCTTTAAATTGGACTTTAGGCACTTTTAACTACCTCTATACATGACCAGTGGCAGTGCAATAGAGACAAAGTTGTATGTACTTCTAAAAGCCCAATTTAGATGTAAATATCTATCCACCTCTAATTCTCAATCAAGTTCCTCTAAAACATATAGAGCCAAGTGTCAGCATTTGATTTTTGCTTGATCTGCCACTTGAACCTCCAATTTACCTCAAACACCTAATCAAACCCTTTTGATCACACCAAAACACCTAAAATCCCAACAAACCCAAATTTCGCCCCGAGAGCCTTCAAATCCACCATTAAATCTACCTGATACCAATCCAATGGCCTTAATCAACCCCCATCCACACTTCAAATATGTGCATATGATCCTTTTTGGTCAATTTTCTTAACAAAAGTTATTTGATACACATAAGAAAGTTGACTTTGGATCTCTTGCCCACAAGAGCTCTACCCACGTCTACCCACAATACACTACCTCCATGCATTAGAAACATCTCCCCATGTATAATACTATGTAAGAAGATGAGATGTTCCCCATGTGATTGCAATGTTTTCAGGGTAGACGTGGGCAGATTCTTGTGGGCAGGAGTTCCAGACTCAAGAAAGTTAGGAATTTGGGTTTACTCGCTCCTTGCAATAACCTCACAACCATGGTTCTAAATATCGATACAGGCCAATACGCCCCCCGGTAGGCCGTATCGGTCTGTATCAGTGCATTTTTTTGTGTTTTATTTATTTTTTTTTCAAAACTGGTTCAAAAGAATCAGTTTAAATCCTGGATATCCTCTGAACCATGGCCTAACACGATACACCCCCTGTAGGGGCATATCGAGAAACATATCAGCCAATACGTAATGATATTCTGAACCTTGCTCACAGCCATTTCCCATATATATTGAGAACATCTCCCATGAATGTACAGCCATATACCATGTATATCAGAAAGTTGATCAGGGGGTTCTTTATAGCTTTGGAAGAACTGAAATAAATTCTCATGTGAATCTTATAACTGCCAAAATTTAAAATTAATCTGTTGATAATCCGACTAGTGCGACTAAAACCACATGTCCATAAATATTAAGTCGAGGGAAACAATATTAATGAGAATCTAAGCCAAATGCGTTCAGTTGGGAATAAGGCCGGGTTCAGTTTAAATGGATAATTTGTTCTCTATTAGCCCAATTGAATCATTACCAACCCATACGACTTCCTAGGTCATGTATCATGCGAATTTGTTAAACCTTTCGGCTCAGTTTGGAAGTACAAATAGAAATATGTATAGTTCAAATACATGTAAAATAATACAAAATACAAGGTTTTGCACTGTACAAATTTGTATTTGTATTCCTTCCAAACTCAGACAAACTGCAATTGCACTCCGTCCTTTCATTTGTTAGTTTGGAACCTTCAATTAAGTCGCATAAATGTAATGCCGAAGCCAAATACGGGCTCCAAGTAATACTCGTGCAGTTATGAGAACCCTTATTAGACATGGTGTAATCAGGCATTTAGCCATCCTATAAGGCTATAACGTGAGAGCCCCCATCACCTACAACATAATCAATCATTACTGTATAAAGGATTCGGCCAGCCCCATGGGCCATGGCAATACATTACCACATTTAAATCTTAGGATAAGATCCGGTTGATTTTGTAGACAGCATTATCTAGGGAAGACCCATCACCCACCAATCAATGTTTAGTTGGTAATATACATTTAATAGAAGAATATATTAATATTATATAAGAAGGCTCATCCAACCGGGTAGTGAATGGAGATGTGAAAGCCTTCCCTGTGAAAAATAGAGGAAACAGAGGCCAAAGTAAACACATACACTTAAAAAAGCATTTCGACACAAGAATTTTAAATCACCTTCATAAATATAATTAGACAAACCCATAAGCCATGCATTCACATTAGCCCAGTAAAAAAATGGGGGACGGTCTGGGCTTGCAGTGGGCTAATGGGTGCGCTTTGAATTAGGAATGGCCACTCATCTTTTCAAGCAATACCAGATTCAGCTTCAGTCAAGAGGGCATCCCTCTCAGCCAACAAGTAGTCACAGAGCTCCAAGAGCTGATCTGCAAGAGGAGGAATACCAGGATTGCGCCCATCATTGTACAAATGAGCATTGTACCTTATTTGGCACACATCATGCCTGAAGTCATCCCTATTCTTGTACTCCATCCTCCTCACCTTCTCCCTAATTGTGGAGAGATCCATTGGATTTTTTATGATGTCAAGGTAGTCAGGAGCTTCTTTCTTGGATACTGGTTTTAGGAACAGGTAGGATACATCAATTTGATCTTTAAGGGCATCTACAATGCTCTCCAAGATGTTTGCCAACCCAACCTGTGTGCAAGCACAACTTATCAGATGCATATTGCAAGATATCAGTAATAATAGATGGATTAATGAAAACTGTGTGCAAGCACAACTTTAAGGGCATCTACAATGTTCACATCTTTTCGATGTGAAATCAGGGAAGTTCATGAAAACTGGGGTTCATGACATAAATTGTTGTGAAAAAGGCAAAGAATCATGTTTAAGGTATGGATTCACCATTTACACATTTTCCTATAACTCAGAAAAACTGATGAAAAGGAAAGTTTACCTCCCCTCCTCTACGGCGCTTTGTTTGTGGGGCATATTCTGCAGCATACCTCCCCAACTCGACCACAGGCCGCCTCTTGGCAGAACGGTCCCTCTCTGGCATTCTTCGATCACTTCTACTTGACCTATGCTCCTCTAAATATTCATCCCTTATCTCTGTTTTTTTCTTCTTTTTCTTCTTCTTTGCTTTCTGCCTTTCCTGTTCTTCCATCTCCCTTTGCCTGGCTTCTTCATGTCTTCTAATCTCAGCTAACCTTCGTTCTTCCTGCATCCTCTTTTTTTGCTCATAAAGCCTCCTTGTTTTCTCCTCTCTCAACCTGTCTGCAATTCTCCTCTTTTCCTCTTCCCACAATCTTCTCTCTTCTGCAGCTTTTCTCCTTGCCACCTCTTCAGCCAATTGCTTTCTCTCTTTCTCTCTATGTTTCTCAAAACTTGACAACTCCATCATCTTTTTTGTCTTTCGATGTTCTTCACCCAGTCCAGAGCTAGCTTCCTGTTTGACCAGATCCACATTACCAACTGTCTTTGTCTGCTTAATTATGATTTTCTTGCGAGGTTGATCTCTATCTGCCTCCGTTGGTGGACGTATCACAATAGATGGCTTCAGAGGTTCCACCTGGATATCTTCATTTTTCATCTTGTTGGAAATTTTTATCTTACTGATCTTTGTAGTAGGTTTAGTCCCAGTTTCAGCATCAGAAGTCATAGGTTTCTCAGAACTCTGCATAATCCCAGGTATTGTTTTCTCAGAAGGCTTGTCAACAGGACCATATTTGAGCTTCAGTGAGGGGAGTTTTGCTTTTAATCCCACTTTATTGGCATTTTCCAAGGTTCCTACAGTAGCAACCTTTGACACAGTCTTTTGTTTTAGTTTCTTCACTGCAGCTTTTTGCTGGGGCGGGGCAGAAGGATCAAGAATGGTAGATTTTCCTGATACTTTTTCCAGGCTTGTGTTATCAACCTGTATTTCCAAGTCTTCCCCATACTTCGGGCAGTTCTTGTTGGTCCTCATGTGCCCTGACTGGTACATCGGAGGGTAAACAATCACTATTGTAAGTAAAAACCATTCTTCATTATTTCATGGCAATGCAACATACCTGACCACATGCTCCACATACAAAACTTTCTCTTACTGGTTTGTCTGTATGTTTCTTTTCCTTAATAACCTGGATATAAAATTTACTTGTGAGGAATCTGACCACAGCTTACAAGTGGGAAGAAAAAGAGGGGGTGAGGTGGGGTTAGCGCTATTAACACTAAAAATGTGGGAAACTCATAACTTGAATATTTTCTTAACAGCAAGTTCTACAACATTTATAAAGTATATTTTTGCATGTTCTCGTACATTATTCAAACATCTAAAGGCGCATGCATGTCATGTATTTCACACAGTATATCCAGACAAACTACTTCAACCTGTGACTTGACACTCCTGTTAAACAAATAGCTGTTATATTTTCCTGAATTGATATTCTGCAGACAAAAAGCATTGACAATGAATTTGCCAGAGCAGTTAGCTGAAGACAAAGTGTAGATCCTAAGAAACAATCAAAATTTTGGATGCCAATAGCATCTGTGCTACTTGATATTTTCTCTGCCTGCAACTTTGATGAAACAATGAAATTACTGTTACAAAATACAAACATTAATTTTTTCATCTTTTCATGAAATGTAACATAATTATCAGATTTAAACCTTCCGATATAAAACAGATGGAAGTAATTTAGCACTAAAAATTATGTGCACCAGGATTCAGGAGAAAACATAATTATTGGTGTTTTTGGTGTTGGTTGCATCCCAATTAAATTTGCAAACATATTGAATTAGATTAGTTTCCTTATAATTTAGAATTAACTGACTAAAACGACAAAAACACCAAGATGGGGCTAGCTAGAGAAGGCGAGTCATGAGCTCACCTTAAATCCGTCTCCTGCTACATTAGTTTTCTTTTTCAGTACACCATTCTTCCCATTTCCTTTCTTTGATTTCATCTTTTCAACCTTCATCCAGAAAAATGAAGAAACTTTTTGTTATGTTATTTGATAAAGTGGTTTATCCACCAAAACCAAGTATGGCCTCTTTATAGGGAAAAAAGGCATGTAACAAGTAGGACGCAAACAGAATAGAGAAGCAATTGAGGATAGAGTCCATCAAGGAGGCTGAGTGACTCACTATTACCTCCATTGGCCCACGAATGATGTTCTCCTTGGATATAAATGATCCATCAGATTGGACAGTACGAATTATCTGCTTGGCTCCACTACCTTTTTTGGTTTGATCTGCATTTTCAGAATTAAAACCTAATTGGGATCCCAAACCTCCTTGCCATGTTGCTTTTGTCCTTTTCTTCTTCCTTCGCTCAGCCTCATCATCTGCAGATGATTTTTCATAACTGTTCATCATGGTATTCGAAAGGCCATTTATTCTATAATTTATCTTATCATCAACATTGTAGTTATTCCATTGGTAAAAAACATGTCCATACTGTCTTAAATACTGACTTGGCATTTATACTTTAATTTTTTTCAAAAAAATCTCAATTCTATTTGGCATATATTCATGATTACAAGCAATTTGGCATATAAGTTTCTATTAACATGTGCAAACTTATAGAAATTTCTAAGATGGTTTGGTAATGTGCATAGAAGACCATCAACAGCACCTGTATGAATAAGTGGTTTGTTACAAGTTGAAGGGGCTAGAAGGACAAGGGGTAGACCAAAAAGGACATGGGTAGAAGTAGCCCCTTGTCCTTATAGTAGAAATGTAGAATAAGTGATTTGTAACTGATCACCTTTTCTAATGGGTTCTATAGGTGGTCTTCTATACACGTGACCTAACCATCTATTATTTGTATCCACATGTCCCCAAAATTGCCCGTTCTTCTGTCAAAACAACTAATTGAAGCCTTATTCCACTCCCCACCAAAGGAAAAAAAAGGAATAAAAGAAACTAACAAGGCTTCAATTACACAATCTACTAGCTAATTCAACTATATTACCAAAATAATGGTTCTCTAAATAGTCATAATTACTTTATCTTGAGGGGTTGGAGATGGGAAGAGGTTTAAGTAAAAGTGGAAGAACTGTGTGGAATAAAGTACCGGCAACTGTGTTATGGGTATTGTGCCAACTGGCAAGAGAGGAATGCTAGGATCTTCCAAAAACGCAATTAAGTAGATTCAGTGGTTTAAAAGATAGTGGGAAAGCTACATTCATGGTTAGCATTTCATAGACGATTTAAAGGAAGAAAGTACAGCTCATTTTTTGTTTTGATAATCTTTGTAAACAGGCAGGAAATATCTGTATAGGGATGTCAGTATTGGGGTTTTGTATATATTCCTAATGTACAGCCTCTAGTTGTACATGGTTATTTTGATTAATGAAATTCTATCTTTACCTTTTCTCAAAAAAAAAAAATAATTATTTTATCTTAAAATAAGTTATGTAAAATTAAAAACCAAAGTTATGTATGTATGTATGTATGTATGTATGCATGTATGATGGTAATTGTAGGAAAAAGACAATGCCAAAGCATGTTTTGTTTAATGCAACAGGAGGTTCTCCTGTTTAAGCCTTTTAATATAAAGAGTTGCTTTCCATGCAAATGACATGGCATTACTAAGGTATTCTTTTGGCAGTAGCATTTCCCTGTATCCAATATAAAACGAACATTCTCTTGATATAACAATTCAATATATATACATATAACATGTAATAATAAAACATTACGTATTTTTGTTTCAAATCAAATATTCAGTTAAAACAAAAATGCAAAAACATAGTTATAGAAAAGATCCTCTTAAATAGTATTGTGCAATTCATTATATATATTTGTTTTCTTGTTATTTTCTGCTTATTTGTTAGCTGCATTTTCTTCACAAAATTCAGTGTCACAACCAAAAATGTTCTCATCAATTGGCAAACAAATTTCTAAAGTCATCTTTAGAGAGTGATTAGGAACTGAAATCAACCATACCATCCATGAGCATCCTACACAACTCTGCTGCTTCTGCAGCTTCATCTTCAATTTCCTCCTCTGCCTGAGCCTGCGATGGGCGTCTTCTCATTTTAAGTCCTCTAACACCATCTGCTTTATCATGTTTGGATTCATAATTACTTTCCTCCCCTTCTTCACACTCTTCAGCATCCAGCAAATTTTCAAGGTCACCAGCAAAGGAATCCAGGTCACTATTTGCTTCAGAGTCACTCTCATTTTCATCGCCATCAGCAGCTGAAAGACTCTGAATTTGGCGATCCCAAATCTCCTGGCATTTTTCTCTTGTCTGCTGCTGAAGTTGAAGAAATGACATTCGCTGTCCACGTGCATACTTGCTGATGGTTGTTGGATCAACCTTAACCCCTGATGCAGCCTGCTCACTTGAAAGTTTGCGTATCATAGCTATTCGATGCCACCTTGTTTGTTTTGTAATCTGTTCTTCAGGAACATTAAACTTAAGGAGAACCTAGAAATTTAGAACATCAAGGGGTTAGGGTTAGTGAAGAGAGAAAAAAGGTACATCTCCTTAGAAAATGTAACTGATATGGATATATAGATTTATTATAGATGCCATAACATAATATCATGCACTTCATTGTAAATATTTATTTTATTTATTATTTCTGTTTAACCCCTTCTAAAGGTGTTTTAGCATTTCAAATGAATTAAGAATATATAAATATAATCCAAACAGAGGACAGCCAACAGTTAGACTTCCTCAATGTTTATTCAAGCCATTTTCTCTTGCTTTCCTAGAAGCAGTCTAGATGCACCAATCTAAGAGATCAAAGAGAATTTACTAAAAATTCAAAAGCAGAAAAGCACAATAAAAAGGAGAAAATAAAGATAAAACACTTGGACCAAATCAATCAACCTAGGAAGCTAGTACACACACATGCATAGTGAGCGAAGTGATTTTACCCCATTTCCTATCCACCTATACCAAATGTGTGCTTCATACAACAGAATTTACCACATTTATATTGCAGTGTAAGATGATATAATCAGTCTTGAATTAAAGATCAGTTAATCCAAATCTAATGACTCTTTAACCTACATATGATGGAAATAAACTCAATAAGGTTTCTAAATAGGTCATGAATAACCTAAATGTCTTAGGGTCCATTTGATAATGGGTGAAGTGACTGAACTAAATGACATTGCTTTATCTGTCAATGGACAAGATAATTAATAACCTAAATATGTCTTAGGGTCCAAGTTCAGTTCCATCCATTAAGGAGATCAGAACCTCCATAATAACTTATTCACTAAAAGACAAAGCAATAAGACTTACCAAAAAACAGAAGAAAAAAAAAGCAAAGCAATAAGCTATTCAGTTCAGCTACTTCAGCTGTTACCAAACAACCCGTTACTCTAGTAAGGATTTAAAAACATAAAAAGAACTTGAAAAATATAGGAAACTTATCAAAAAGGTAGTATTTCAATTTCAGAAGAAATATAGCTCAACAATAATCCTGATTTTAGAGAAGAAAATAAAGAAAGGAGAAGAAAGAAGATGTTCAGGAGAAAGATAAAGAAAGAGGAAAAAAGAGAGGAGAGAAGAGTTGAATCATGTCCCTTTCTCTATCCCTCAATCAATTTATATATGTTGAATATTAAAAGATGCAGAATTACATGGGTGCCCCTAGTTAGGCGGCTGACCAAAAGAACAAAAGAAACACCAAGTATTGTGGCCCATAAAGAAGGCCCTCTACAGCTGAAACAAAACTAAGGCTCATTCAGCCCAACATCTCTACACTTCCCCTCAAGCTGAGCAATAATGTCAATCATGCCCAATTTGCTTACACAGTGTTGGAGCTTTGCCTTAGGAACTCCCTTGGTCAAGATATCTACTAATTGTTCCTCTGAAGAAATAGGAAGACATACTTCCCCCGAGGCCACTCTCTCTCATATCAAATGTCTATCTATCTCAATGTGCTTAGTTCTGTCATGCTGATCTGGGTTATGAGCAATGTTAATGACAGCCCCATAGGCCATAGCCCTATACTTTGCCTCAGTTGAAGATCGAGCAACCACAAATTGCTTCTTACTCCTTCAGGAGATGATATTTCTAATTACCATGGTACAATAACCCGATGTGAATCTTCTATCATCTATACTACATGCCTATTCGGCATCTGTATAGGCCTCTAACTTCATATGACCATGCTTGGAAAAGAGTATGCTCTTCTTAGGAGTTCCCTTAAGATAAAATAGCACCCTTTCTGCAATAGCCACATCTGTCTTAGGGGGGGCATGCATAAATTGGCTAATCACAAACAACTTGCTCCATTGATTAGACGGAAATGAACAAAAATAAAAACAAGATACTACTAATCAAAAAACACTAATCCGAAGCCAAACTTGCTTCTCTATAGCCAAAAACTATGGTTTCACAATACCCAACAAAATAGAAGAAAGAGAGAACTTATAACCACTCCTACCAATGACTTTGGAAGCTTCTCCAACCAAAGTTGACCTCCAAATAGGTTAATAAACTCTCCTTTAAGCTCCAAGCTATCTCTAGACCCTTTAATCTAATTTCTCTAGTTAGCTAGGGTTTTCAGGAAAAAAAAAAGAACCTGTCTTGAGCCTCAATCTGAATCTTTAATCTTCTCTAGGAATCTCACCCAACTGGGAAACATCAATTTTTAATTGATTAGTAATTTAATTCTCCACACATTCTGTGTGTCTAAAAAGAGAAAAGCAGGAAGTGGGAGCCTACTCTGATGCCAAGGAGAAATATAATCCAGCAATAATACTGGTTCTAGAGAAGAAAATAAATAAGAAAAAGAAAGAAGATGTTCAGGAGAAAGAGAAAGAACGAGGAAGAAAAGAGAGGAAGGGAGAGCTGAATCGTCCCCCTCCCTTTATCCCTCAATCAATTTATATATGCTGAATATTAAAAGGTGCAGAATTACATGGGTGCCCCTAGTTAGGCAGCTGCTCCAAAGAACATAAAGAAACATCAAGTATTATGGCCCATAAAGAAGAACCACTACAGCTGAAATAAAAACTACTGAATAGATAAACAAAACTAAGCCCATTCAGCCCAACCTCTCTACAATTTCCAATATCAACCAAGGATAGTGCAGTTAACACCAGCTGAGAACAAGAAAGTTTCCTTATATTGCTTATCCTATGTTATTTTCATTGAAACTTAGTGTCCTATAATCATGCCATAGAAATCCAAGTAGATATATGATTAGTAGTTTGGTTCTTTATAAAAGAACAAAACAAAAGGAAAACAAAAGAAAAAAAACAAACACTTCATCTTTGATGGAGCACTCTTTATTTAACAATAATAGAAATGAATAGACAAGGCCATTAGATATCCAAAAGCCCTTTCAGAAATAGTAGCTGGGCAAAAGTTGAATAGCAGAGGACATAGTGAACACAAATCCCTATTGGAGGAAATTTTTGCAAAGATTTTAGTCAACATTCCCTTATTCTAAGTGAAAATTTAAAAATACCAACTACCAAAGCTTTAAGCAAAGGAATGATGAATTAGAGAACCAAGTCCAATTAAAATGATTCAAATTGAATGAATAATATAAATATTAAGATTCAAAAATAAAATCATAAGATTTTTTTTTTTCAGAATAAAGATTCATACATAAGATTGGAATTGAAACCCTTGGGATTCATGATTAGAATTGTGAATTTTAATGTAAACCATAAGATTTTGACAACTAGGTCCAACATTGGGTGATGGCCAGGTCGAACATTGAGCAAGGCTTTAAGATATTGACAATATCTTGTAGAGCTTACGCAGAAACCATTCCAGAAATCCTTCATATGAATGAGCATACCTCACGAGCTGCCTCCATGCTCAATCTGCGAAGATCAGCATCTGTTCCAGTGACAGTTGAACCTCCTCTAGCAGCAGTTACCTTTTTCTTTACTATAGCACTTGAAACTGGTGCCTTTGGAGCAACTCGAACATAACTAAAACCTAAGCCCCGACCAGATGGATCACCAACACCAGTAATTTCAAGGCGCTCAATATTTTCTCGATCCTGCAAACAAAGTAAATGATACATGAAGACTTGAATAAATCCCAGGCTGATTATAATACATTGAAACATGACAATTAAGGAATTGCTTTGTTGATTGCATTAGCTGATTATAATATTCTATGAAGACAACCGCAATGACATTACACCATTACCTGCTGTAATGGTAAATCCCAGGCTGACAAGTGTGAGAATACAGGTTCAAGTCTGAGAGTGATCACTTTGTGCAAAAGAATGCAAAATGCCAGGACTATATCCAGTCCACCCTTTCCAAGACCCCAAATAGCTGGGACCAGCATTAGCTAATGGCCTTTTTTATCACACCTATATGACAACCACCTTGACATCAAAGACACTTTCTGTTCTGAAGCAAATTGTACGTCTTCAGTCTACAGCCCTCTGGAGCATAAAGGATGAATCTTTTTTTTTTTTTTTTTTTTATAACAGTATAATTGTATTAAAAGAGGGAGAGCTTCCCCCAAGTGACTCAATTTAGTTGGATGAACCTTGAGCTGATCCTATATATATGAAAACATATTTAAATCGAATCGAATCAGATTACATCAGAGATGGGGGTGGATCCATATTTGATTAATTTATAAATGGACTGAATTCAGATCACCCATAGTGGGGTCGAATTCAAACAATTGGATATCATTTGCAGCCTTATATGCTAATGACCTTCCAGTGGCATCAGTCCTAAGGCACCACCTCAGAAATGGCAACTTGTAATTATTACTATATTTAAAAATTAAATATAATTAGAAATTAACTAAGCCTAAAAGGTCCTTGTAGGGATTTGCATATATCAAAAAGTGGTATATCTGATACTGGAGTAGGGAATGTGATATCCTTTTGGATCTTCTATCATGCTGGTCTCCATTTTATGTACTTACCTCCAATTTCCTTCTAATTTTATGGGTTATACTTATTTCCTTCTAACCATAGATTGGCAAATCATCCAAGGAATATATCAGATTAACTTAATCTCAGGAAAAACTGTTGCTTGGAAGTAGATTTCACTTCAGAAGAACAGGCTCTAGAAAGTATTTCAAATAAGTATGGTTCAGTAAATTCAAGTGGATATTTCTTAATCTAAGAGGCATCTGTAAGAATCATCTTTTACCAATAAAAAATAACCCTTTTTGGATAATACTATGATGAAAAATGCACATTTCCGCTGATCAGCAAGAAATTGAAAAGAGATCCTACTTGACATACTAAATGACAATAAGTAAAGTGGATAAGCTTGTTCACCACTGGCCACATATTGTTTGACTTTCACTCCACAGGCATCAGAAATTAAGCACCACTTTCAAGGAAAATATACAAAATCAATTTTACCTGACTTGTACAGGCAACAAAATTGCTAGTCAGGTTCCACGGAGTTATCTGAAGTTCCCTCTCAATATGTGATGCTGCAGCTAGAGCAATAGCTTCATCTGGGAGTTGGTTCATTGCAGAAGACAGTCCAGTAGGGTGTGTCAACCTACTAATTCCTAAACGTTTGAGCCTGTGAAGACCAGCTAGCATGCTTTCATAGGTGCAAACCTGAGAATAGAAAATGAGTAAGAAGTCGCACTACAATAAAAAAAAAAAAAAAAAAAAACTCCAAAACTACATGTAAACTGTTGGAGCTTTATTATCTTGGGCCAAATTTACAACATTAGGAATGTAATAGCCACTATAATTTGCACCAAAAGAATGAAAAAGAAAGCTATAAGAATAGTCCAAGAAAAAATTTCCCCAATATTTTCAACCACTATACTCAACCTCATAGTAAATATGATACCCAGATAAGATTTAGAAAGAAGAGGAGAGATTTCCACTTGGTATTTATTGATTAAAAAAACATATGATATGTTCCCTAGAGAAGTCATCTGTTGCACTTTGGGAAAGAAGGGGCTTCAAATAGATATGTTAATATCATAAAAAATATACATTAAGGATCAATAACTAGCATGCTAACTCAGGAAGGTGATATAAGAGAGTTTCTAATCATAATGGGCTTACATCATGGCTAAGTACTTAGTATAGAGGTAGTAACAGTGGTAGTTCAGTTGAGATTGATGATCAGGAGGAACCCCAAATAACCACATCCAATATCTTGGATCAAATAATGAATGATCCATAATGTGTGAGAAATTAGAGGTTAGAACAAGATGGTTAAAGTGGATAGATGGTGTACCATGGTGACTGGTATATACCTTGATACTAGAAATATTGCCTTGTAAATTTCTGGCAGTCATTTTTACTTGTAGTCTCAACCCTGCAGGATCTGTCAACCAATTATCCAATCATTCCCTCTATTATCTGGGTTATCTTTCAAGTGAATGACTAAATCTTTCACTGGTGAAGACTCAAATGCTAGAAAATTCATATCTAATGGATATTGCTAGTAAGAAGTTCGAGACTATCATCCCAATTCCCCTAATTGGATCATTGGCTAAAGCAAAATCTTGTTTTTCGATAAGACATGCAGAATATGGTAGAGTTCTATGGCAATGCACAAGGACAGCAATGATGTGGAGTGTTTGGTGTGAAAGAAACTATAGAATTTTTAGCATGAACATAATGAATCTGCTGAGGTTTTAGACAAATTGTGTAGTCTATAGTGGTAGTTTTTTATTATTTATTGTTTAGATAGGAAGTGGGGACCACAGCACTCTTGTTGGGTCCTTTTTGATAGTTATTTTAATTATTTTATCTTGTTTTATGTGTTAGTCACCCTATAAGGGCATATTGGTCTTTGTACTCTTTATTATTTTAGAGTATAAATAATAATGAAGAGGGTGGCCAGCATTACTGCTCTCTTTTCTCTCTCAAATCTCTTCTCTTCCTTTTCTTCTTTCTGCTCTTCTTCTTCAAGAAATACTCTTTTCTTTTACATATCTTAATTTCAGCACCTTTCTACTTGGTATCAGAGCTCCACTAAGGTTTCTTCTAAGTTTTTTCCATGCAGTCCTAGATCAGCCAATTGCATGAGGAGATAAAGGGCTGATCGATCTACTTCAGATTGCCCAGTTCTTGGATTTTTTGGTTTGGTCTAGCCATCAGGAGGGTGACCTATGTTTTGGCATCAAAATCAGGAAGAACTATAGTGCGGGGAAGAGTCCTAGTCAAGTTGGACTCTTCAATTTTGATCTGATTTTGGGCACTCAAGTATTGTTGGACTTCTCTAAGTATTCTATAGGGGGTGGTTAGGTTTCTGGAATTTTTTGGGCCTTTTGTAGTGGCCAATTCACTTTTCTCTCTGATGGGAGACAGTGGGAGGAGAGAGATTTCTCTCCAAATAGGGTTTGCTTCTTCCGAAAAGGTCTATTACCCTTGTGTATGAGATAGATTTGATCTTGGAGGCTCTCTACCTAATTACTTTCTGCTTTTGAACTGTTTGAAGTAAAATGGAGAGTTGGAATACCGAGTAGAAGTTCATCAGTAACATGGGTCTGGGTGTTGGAGGTAGTAGTGATATTTTTTGGTCTGGAATTATTACTATAGCGAAGTTTTGATGGTACAAATTATCTAGAATGGGCACAATTAGCCAAGATGGCCATTGGTGCTCGTTGGAAACTAGGGTACATCATTGGGGAAGAAAAGAAACCTGATACAGATCCCTCCCAGTGGATACAGGAGAAAAACATGGTGATGACCAGGCTATGTAACTCTATATTACTTCACATTAGTAAAAATTTTTTTGTGGGCTAATACTGCAAAGGAGATTTGGGATGGAGTGACTAGAGCCTATCAGTTAAGGAATCGGGTGATTAGTACAAAATAGGGAGATAGACCTCTTGCCACCTATTTCTTCATGCTGAAAATTCTTTGCCAACAGATTGACCACTTAGAAACTGTGGTTTGGGAGAGTATGAAGGATGCAACAACCTATCAGGGGTTGGTAGAAAAGAATAGTATGGAAGATTTTCTAACAAAGCACGGAGCGGATAGGAAGAAATTGAATAAGAGAGAAATTATTGGGGATTTTGGATCCACTGGATTATACATTTAAAATAGCGGAGAAAGAAAACAGTTGGTTCTTGGAACCATTGGAGTTGCTTGGCATTTTTTTCCATTGTTCTTTAATCACCGATTAATAAATTTAGCATTTTCAAAAAGAAAGGATATTATGTCACTCAACTCAATTTAGCATTAATCCCAACTATCTGGATTGGTTTACTATAGCAATTTAATGTAAAAAAGGAAAAAATCAAAGAGTTAAGAATCTTAAATATGTCATATGTCACAAATAAACGATTAGGCTAAATAAATTGCATAAAAGCTAAAAAAAAAAAAAACACTTTCTTGAGAAAAGGCGTCTCAAGGTGTGAGGCATGACTTCTAGGCATAAGCCTTTATGCCTTACCCTAATGCAAGCCTCAAAGAGCAAGCCTAAGACATCATTGGAAGAAATATGGAAACAACTATGGAAGAATTAGCTTTCATTAAGCATTACGAAGATGTTAGAAATGTTTCATACATTTCAACTTCACAAGATAATATCAGACCTTCCAACAGTTATAGCTAAATCTCCTACATAAACAAGAAGCAAAAGGACAAAAAAATAAAACAGAACTTACACTTTCTGGAGTTACCATCCTTCTGAGTTCTTCTTCCAAAGGAATGCGGAAATTGCGTTTCATAACCCAAAACAAATGTCCATTTGATATCCTCTGTTGTGTTGCATGCCCCCATCATTTTTCGAGATCAATAGATAAGGTTAATAGATATTAAAACAGAACTCAAAAGCAGAAGTGAACAAAAAATATATATGGAATGGCTCAAACATGAGTAGAGTAAATTGCAGAAGATATTGGAAATTTATTATGCCAGCTAACCTAAAATAGGTTTGGGTCTTCAAGAAAATGTGCAAATTATAGAGGTTCTTTTGTTTTAAAAACATAATGGACCAATCTCAAACCAATTTTGAGATTACCAACTAAAACCTGACCCAAATTTAAACTGAATCAGCATCAACCAAGCAAAACCTAAAAAATGGTTGAGTTCAGTTGGGCAGTGCAGCAAGAACTCACAACAATAATCATAATGCAAAACTACCTGCAAATCGGCACAGTGCTTCAACCTCTTCCGAAGAAAAGGTTCTGAGAGATTAGGAAATTGTGCAGACAACTCATCTGCTCGGATGCAAGGAATCAAGCCACGCTTTTCATTGGCACGGAATTCACGGTAAATACAAACTAACAGCCTGTTCCCAATATATGTCTGAAGGCTTTTTGATCCCGGAGAAATTACTTCCATGTGAGGTTCCTGAGTAGAATGTGAGCAAATTGTGAAGTTGTAAACAATTTAAAAGATGAGTTATGCCATCTTAATCATTGTTTTGCATAAAATCACCGTATGTTAAATACCAAGACTTCTTTTCTGAAAATGAAATCTTAGGTGATAAAACTGGATGACTCAACTAGCCAATTTACATAACAGTGAAGGATCAAACCATGTTTGTCTAAAATGTACAACCTTAAGATTATTATCATACCAAAATAGTGCAAGGCTTTCTGGAAACTCAAGACTCAAATGAGAATAAGAAAACCAGCAATAACTCATTACAAAATATTGCATATATCAATTAAAATTTAAAGCAAATCACACAAAATATTTAATTAAATCTAAATTTAGAAAGAAAATCATAATATCAAAGCATACTGCATACCTAGTAAACAAGCATAAACACAAGGGCTTCACGTAATAGTAAACAAGATTATGATAGAAAGCATCAAGGAAAAGAAATAATAGTATACTCATGTGATAGAAATGTTTATTTATAAATAACCTAACCAAATTAACCAACCTGTTGTCCAACAACATCTATTCTGTCAATACGTCTAAGGGAAAGTTTTCCCTTTGCAGAACGAACCAATAAATAGTCAGTTGATGCCAATTTGTGGGGAAATATGGGTGCTCTATACAAGTTTGTTTCAAGAGAAGACTGGCTACAACCAGGTCTGATATCTCCAAGGAAAGGTGATTTATCAGTAGGATCAAGACTGAGAACATTCCCCAGGCTGTTGTCTCCAATGCGCAATGAGGAGGTAGTTTGATCACCTGACACTGGTTTTTGATAATAAGTGCATAGTCTTGCACCCATCCCAACATTACCTAGAAGTAAAGGTCTTTCTTCACAATACCTGCAAATATCAGAAAACAATACTAAGAATAAACAATTAATAAATTTAGGAGCAACAGAAGTAGATGAATTCACTAAAGTTTCTCATCACTAACTAAAAATAGTAAATAGTAATAAAAGAGAAAGGTTAAGCTGTTATTTTCCAAGTATAAGGATTTAAGGAAGAGATAGAAACCACTCAAAGCTTTTGGTGAGTGGATTAGTGGGCTGGAAGATGAAAGTTGTATTGGGGGCAGCAGAAGATTTTTCAGAAAAGAAAGGAATCCCCTAAAATACCTAGCACCCACTGTTCCAACCCTGAAAGGATTAATGCCCCCAGAAAGACCAGGCACCCTGGGCAGCAATAGAGAAAATAAAAGAAAGAATCATGCCCACAGCACTAGACAAATCAAACACCAAGGCTTCCATCCAGCCCCCTTCCCAAAGACACATCAAATGACCAAAATACCCTTGCTGAAAAAAATACAAAAAAAAGTCGGAAAACTCCAGGGACTTGTTTACTCCTGAGTCAGCATCATTGAAGGAGTTCTTTTCTCAATCAAATATAGAATATGTCAAGGCAAGGATGCATCTGGAGGATGTGGTGAAAGAACAAATAGTAGGATGGTTATCGGTCATTATTTTTCCAAAGGCACTTTATCTTTTCAGTTTTTTGGTAATGGAAGGGGGCTTGATATCAGGGTCCAAGATTGGGTAATGGCCCTTTTTAAGGGGACCTTGATAGAGCAGTATAACAGGGACAGGGTTCATGTAGATAATCCCAAATAGTTGGTGTTAAGGATGAGCTGAATTTTGAGGAAGGGGGATACTGACCATTGAGGGAGATTTTTTCTTAATCTTTCCATTGTTACTCTCTCCTTTTATCTCTCTTATTTCTTCAGGTTCCTTTCTCTTCGTTATATAGTTTTCCACATATTCATCTTAATAATCACATTCCCACTATGAAAAAAGAAAGAAAAGTCTAAATGTTTTTGTTACAGAACTGATCTGTACTGGTTTCAGCCCTAGAATAGCAGAGAATAATAGCAGGAAAGAAAGAGAGAGAGAGATACAGAGAGAGAAGAGAGAAAGAAGAGAAGAAGGAGAGAAAAAACTGGTTTAAACAAGAGAAGGATCCTTTCTCTAGTCAGCCAGGTATTATCTACATGTTTCTGATTAAAGAACACAAAGACACTTATGCCCCAGTTATGGGACAAAGTAATTAAACCAGAACAAAGAAGGCACTACACCACACTCTTAATACAAAATGAAATGATCAAACTACCCCTTTATATATCATATAGTCCCATCTTCTTAAAAATGTAATCCACTCTTCCCCGACTCAACCCCTTGGTGAACAGGTCTTCCCATTAACTTCCTGTGTTTACATATGCAATACTTATTACTCCACTGAGCACCTTTTCTTTCACAAAGTGACAATCAACTTCTATATGCTTTGTTCCCCAATGGAAAACTGGATAAGATGAAATGTGGAATGTAGCTTGTTCGTCACAATACAGATTCATAGGGTTATCAATGGTATACCCTCATCTCTTGTAAGAGATTCTTCAACCATACTAGTTCACATGTAGTGTGCGCCATGGCTCTATATTGAGCTTTTGCAGTGCTTCTTGCTATCACAGCCTATTTCTTGATCTTCCATGTCACCAAATTGCCTCCAAGAAAGGTACAGTACCCTATGGTGGACCCCCTGTTAGATAGAACTAGCCCAGTCAGCATCTATGTACCCTCTATCCCAAGACTTCCTCCACTCTTGTATAACAAGCCACGATCTAGATCTCCTTCAAGTACCAGTCAATCTTTAAAACTGCATCTCAATGTGGAACCCAAGGATTCTGCATAAACTGACTTACTACACTAATTGCAAAAGATTGTTTGGTACTTGAAGGACCATAAACTAACTGCATAAATTGTCTGTCTAGCCGAGTAATGATCAAATAATTTAGCTTTCCCACCAGCCTCCAGTACCTTCTGAGGTCCTCAAACTCCTCACCTACATTACTACTCAACTAGACATTCGGTTCCCTGGGTGTTTCAGCTGGTTTGGCACCCAAAAAACCTGTCTCCTCCAACAAACCAAAGACATACTTCCTTTAGCATAGATTAATACCATGCTTAGACCTTGCTATCTCTATCCCCAAGAAACATTTTAACTTACCAAGGTCCTTAGTTTGGAAGTGATCATGCAGAAATGTCTTCAACTTGTCAATTCCCAACCTATCACTGCCACTAATAACAATGTCATCTACATATACCACCAACAAATTCTTCTCGAGATACGAATCATAGCTAGATATTGGATGATCAACCTGACATTGTCTCATGCCAAATTCATTCACCAGTTCACTAAATCTACCAAACCATGCACGTAGAGATTATTTAAGTCCATAAATGGTCATCTTGAGTCTGCACGCCTTACCATCCTCCCCCTGAGCAACAAACCCTAGTGGATGCTCCATATAAACCTCCTCAGGAAGATCACCATGTAAAAAGGCATTCTTTATGTCAAGTTGGAATAGAGGCCAATCATACATAGTAGCTAGGGAAATCAAAACATAGACAAAGAAAATCTTAGCAACAGGAGAGAAGGTCTCAATGTAGTCAATGCCATATAACTATGAACACCCTTTTGCAACCAATCGAGCCTTCAACCGCTTTACACTACCATCTAGTAAATACTTGACAGTGTATACCTACTTACAACCTATAGCATGCTTGCCAAGATGGAGAGTAATGAGATCCCACACATGATCATGAGCTAGAGCAAAGAGTTCTTCCATTGCTTGGTGCCACCCTGGAGAGGTAAGAGCTTCCTAGAAATTCTTAGGAATAGAAACAAAAGATAGCAAAGAAATAAGCTGTCGATGGGAGGTAAAAAGGTGAGATATAGAAACATAATTAGAAATGGAATGAAGAGTCCAATTGTGTTTACCTTTTCGCAAGGCAATTAGAAGGTCAAGGTCGGAGAGAGGGGGTGAGTCTGGTGCTGAAACAATTGTTGGATCTGTCAGCGATGAAGAAACTTGAGTAGCCAATACATGTCAATGCGTATACACTTGCCTGATAGGTGGTCGATCAACAAGAGGTTGCACTGGAGCCCACGACTAGGACACAACTAGAACAAGAGGAATGGGGTCCTCGATAGGAACTGAAAGTGGAGGTGGAGGAGAGACATCAAATCCAGAGAAGAATGGAACGGACTCAAAGACCATAACATTGGGACAAACAAAAGAACATCGAGAACTGGGGTTATAACACTTATACCCTTTCCGGGTTCTAGAATAGCCAAGAAAAACACACTTAGTAGCTTGTGCATATAATTTGTCCATTCTAGCCCCAATATTATGAACAAAACACACATTCATAAACCCTAGGAGTGAGAGGGAAAGGAGACAAGGTGGGAAACAAAACAGATAAGGGAGAATGAACTTCAAGGACAGTCATGGGCATCCGATGAATGAGGAAGCAAGATGTAAGGACAACATCACTCCAAAAACGTTTGGGTACATTCATATGGTGCAAAAGGGACTAAGCAGTTTCCAAGAGATAGTGGTTCTTTCTTACAACCACCCCATTTTGCTGAAGGGTGTAAGTACATGAGGTTTGATGGATAATGTCATGTTGTTCCAAATATTGTTGAAAGGGTGTATAAAAATATTCTTGGCCATTGTTAGAACAAAGAATCTGAATAAGTATCTCAAACTGAGTATGAATTTCAACATGAAACATTCGGAAAATAGAAAACAATTCACTCCTTTCTTTCGTAAGATAAAGCCATGTCATCCTTGAATAATCATCAACTAAAATTACAAAATATTTGTAACCATTGTATGACACTACTTTATTTGGACCCCAAATGTTTGAATGGACCAAAGAAAAAGGATTCGACTTACGACTATCAACCCTAGAACTAAAGGAAACACAATGATGTTTCCTATACTAACATGACTCACATTCCAAAGTAAAAAGACAACTCAACAACAGAACAAGTAACTTAAGTGCCTTAAGGGACGGATAACCAAGCCTGCAATGCCACTGGAGAGGAGAAAGAGACGAATAAAGAGTTGTTGACAACCCACCACCATTAAGGTAATACAGTCCACCAAGCTTCATTCCCTCCACCAATCTTCATCTCCATCTTGAGATCCTAAAAGCACAAGAAGGGTAAAAGGTGATGGAGCAATTAAGAGACTTGGTTAATTTACTAAATGACATAAGGTTAAAAGGAACTTTGGAAACACACAAAACTGAGGATAAAGGTAAGTAATCTAGGTTAACATTACCAATACCACAGATAGAGGATGGGTAGCCATTAGCAAGAGTAACTGTGTGATGTAGAGGACTGAGAAAGAGAAGGAAACACGCTTGGAGTCCCGGTCATATGATCGGAACCTCCAAAGTTAATAATCTGATGGCAAGGTTTGGATGCTACACAAGCCATACCTGAGTGGGCAAGGGTAGATGTATTCTGCTGAGATGTAGACTAAAGGAAGCGCTCATACTCGGAACATGGGACACTCATCATCTCTTTCCCGGAGACATCTGTAGATGTAGGTGCCTAATCAACTTGTTGAATTTCATCTCTCATACCACCATCACTAACCAGTAACCACTGCATGATTGGCCTAGGTACAGGGTGGCCCAAGTAGATCGAAACTAAAGTTGATAGTACATCCCTCCATTCCATAGTGTGTACATTTCCTCACACCATTAACACGTTCTCCCCCTGAATCTCGACCTACAATACACCCACCACCACAATTAAACATGGGACCACAACTACCACCACAACCTAGCTAAATTCCTCGAGCTCCTCTACCACCATGACCTTCACCTCCAATTACTGCAAAAGCAGACCTATCAGACATAGTAGAGTGCTCTAGATGTCCAACAGAGATCCTCTAGAGACAAACAAAAACTCCCTCCAAAGAGGGAAGGGAAAACTCACTTAGTATTTGTGCTTTCAACGATTCATATTAAGCTTTCAACCCTACTAAAAATCTTGTTACATCAAGTTGCTCTCTCTATTGTTTCTAAATTTTGACATAAGATGTAAAGGGGTGACAAACATTCAACTCATTCCAAAGATTCCTCATGCTAGCATAATACTCCTCAAGACTCTAATTACTTTTGCTGCAGATTAAAGTACTCTTGGTAAATCTGATATACTTTGGTAGTGTTATCTTGTCTAGAGTAAAGCTTCTTTGCATGGTCCCAAATCTCCTTGGTTGTATATAAGAACATAAAATCACACTATTCTTGGGTTCCATACTATTCCACAACCACATCATAATCTATGTACCCCCTTGTTTCCACTCATTGTAACTTGAGAATCAACTGAGGGTTTTTCCTCTCTCACATGCTTCGCCTTCTTCTTAGCCCTAAGAAAGACTTCTACAAAATTAACCCAAGGCACATAATTCTCACCATTCAGTTTAATAGAGGTCATCTGCACACTAAGATAATCAAGGGGAATCATAACACTAGAATTGTGTTCACTATTGTCTCCCATAGATGCCATAAAACAAAAAAAACTCCACTTGCTAGCCACCACACTACACACTAATGATTCGTTATTACTGAAAAAATATGTTAACACAGTTTTAAGCCCCAACTGTCACTGCAGTCCTACTCTTTCAGCACCATAAAAACAATTAAATGCATCAAAAACACATAACACTAGGTCTGCAACTGATCACTACTTGTTTCGCACTGTTTCACCCATATAACCCACTTGTTTAAACTCCACAAATCAGTCCTGCAGTAACCTGTTCACTACACACCTTAAACAGCCCTCTTTGATCCAGCAATTAGAGGGTTTCTACAAACCACATGAAACGAACACTGCACAACCAACTGGAAGAATGAAAACCTCCAAAAGGAAAAACGACAACTCATTTTCAACGTTTCTGTGAATCCCCAAGTAACCGATGAGATCTCTGCAGAGGTCTAGGGCAAAAGGCAATCCAGAAAATTCTGGGTTGACCTGAACTGATTACAGTGGCTCTGATACCATGTTACAGAATTGATGTGTACTGGTTTCAGCCCTAGAGCAGAGAATAATAGCAGGAGAGAAAGAGAGAAGAGAAGAAGAAAAAGGAGAGAAAACTGGTTCGAACTAGAGAAAATTCTCTCTAGTTGGCCAGGTATTAATTATATGTTGCTGAGTAAAGAACACAGAGACACTTATGACCCTAATTAAGTAGGGACATAGTACTTAAACCAGAACATAAAAGACATTACACCACACTCTTAATATAAAATGTAATGACCAAACTACTCCTGTATAGCCGACTCTTAAAAGTTTTCACTGATACCACAAGACTTTTACGAAAAGAAATACAGAAAGAAGATTTATCTCCTCTATATGTCATGGATTTACAATACTAGCAAATTCTTATGTACAAATGAAGGGACATACATTACAAGAATGTTTAAAGATTACTTACTCCATCAGGAAGACATGCCCATCTTTCACAGACAGATCCGACTTCTTCTTAAATGCCCCTGGAGGACGCAAAGACTTATTTTCACCAGGGATCTTTTGTGCCCTTGGCCACAAATGTATTTTTGTACGAACAAGATGCAGCACTGAATTTGGTCTAACATTTTCCATGGCAAGAGATTTAGCATCTTCAAGTTCCTTTCCAGAATAAAATATTTTAACTTTTTCTGATGGTTTAAAATCTGTGCAGGAAGAATTACAAAGTTGCTGTTAATATAGAAAAAATCTCAAATAACAAAAGGAGAAATGCATAAAAGAAATATTGAGACCAATCGGGATTCCACACAAGTAGCAATTAGAAAAAACAATCAATATAAATAACAAGTGTGTGAGAGAAAACTAGCCTAGCTTTTTTGAGCCTTTTGCTTTAACAGAAGAGACGGTTTCCTCTGCATCCACATGGAGTTTACTCCCCTTCCCTCCCAAGCTTTTCAATATAATTTTCATGGGCCCTTTTGTAGCTAGTGGTCCTTGTTCCTTTGCTGCAACTTCATTGTCATGGGGGTACCATAATGCCTTAGGCCTATGAAAATTAGCAATATCTTTACTGCAAAACAGAACAAACCAGACACTCTCAGCCCACAAAGAACATAATATAAGTAGAAAAATATTCAAAGGACTAGAAAAATGTGAATATGAAGAATATAGTCCAAAAGTGCACAATTTCCTATGATTAGAGCATGATGAAAGTAGGAATCTGCTGAATTAAAAAAATATGAAAGAAAGTAGTTTCTTGAAGAGAGAAGGAAGAGAGAAGGAGAAAAAGAGAAGAGAAGTTGAAAAGAAAAGAGAGCAATAATCTGGCCGCCCCCTTCACTTATTATTTACACTAAAATAATAGAACAGTACAAAG